GTAGTTTGTGTGTTCATTATAAATCATCATCATCATTTTCATCATTCGAGCTGTCGGCGAAATCAAACGAGGTCCCCCCAACGCGAATGGAAAGACACACTTTGGAATCTTTAAAATCAAAACCCCCCCTTCCAGCAAAACCACAAAAAGCAATTTGATCTCGAAGCGCCAGCCAGGAACAGCAACGCAACGTGCTGTAGAGCACATGGGGTTACTGGTCAAGAGGAGCTGACAACTCAAAAGCAAAGGGAACTAAATAAAACACTGCGATACCAACTTTACAGCATTATTTGCATGCACAACGGGATGCAAGGTAAAATATGCACGAGACTTCAAATCGACTTTGTTATTGAACAAAAAAGGCTATGTTTTGCGTTTTCTGGCAATAGAAAAACAGGTGTTACGATCAGTTTAACACGCAGTAGGAGGCTTTCACGACCAATATCATCCATAATAGAGGTTTTTTGGGTTAGATCGTGTAAATATTTCAAAGTGTCATTAAAACCCGCCAACACCCGACACAAATCTGGCTGTCGCCTGATGAAGCTAGTTTTAATTACTGGCGGAACGTCGTACTCAGATTGTAAATGTTGTGGCTTGGCTCTCCAACACACCGGTGTGCTGTACTAGTGACGAATTGGCACGTTCTGTTGACGTGACAACCCTTACTAGTTGGCTGTGTCGGGTGGTGGCGGGTCTAACGACACATTTATATATTTACGCGATCTAACCAAAAAAAACCCTCTATTAAGGTGGTAAGATGTTCATACTGTGATACTGGCAAAAAGGTCCCATTTTATACCGTGTTATTCTTGACGTATTTTATGGCATGTGTTGCATAATCTACTGTCAATGATGTATTGTCTCATAGCGTGGCCCACGATCTACCCACTGCTGGATGAAGCCCCTTTCCCAAGTCATCACCATTGCTCACGATTCCGCGGGTCCACGATCCCAGCGGCTCCTGCACAATTCGCCGCTGACGTGTCTCTCCGTGGCGAGGACACCGCCACGAACGGCCTTTGTTGTCCAGCACGTGAACTATGATGCACTTTTCCTTTTAAGGCCACAACGCTATTGATGACGTGTGTGTTGAGTTATGTTGTTGTTTGATCACCTCCGGCAACGCAGCAGCTGCAGCACCGTCACCGATCAATGTGTAAATGATTATTGCGTAATTAAATCACGTTTTGAGATGTGTACACCTCAGAAACTCTTCCCTAGCTGCAGTATTCGGGCAAAGCGTTGCAATGCAGTCTGAGGAATGAGACCATTTTGCACAAACACAAAATAATGTTTACGTCACATGATTTTAGTTTTTAATGTAATAAGTAGATAATAATGATAATAATGATACTCTTTGGTTCTACTCGGTAAAGTCACGTAGGTAAAAAATAAAACAACAAAAATCACGACGTTTCGGCCACAACACAAGCGGCCTTCATCAGGTGAAGGGATCAGGCTGTCTCGAGGACAGCGCTAGACCGCGACCTTTAAGCTGTGTGCGAGGAAACAAGGTGCCTTGACAAAGGAATTAGCATAAAATTAGCATTTAATTGGCCGACTTAGCATGACGATCGGTGCAGAGGTGGTGTACATGCGGGTGGACCTGCCGGTTGGCGCGGGGGGGGGAGGGGGAGTTTACCCATTGATGGTGTGAAAAGGGAATCCTTAAGAGCTGCGGAAGTTTGGGGTACCACTACTTGAAAAAATATACTGTACCATTGAAAATTAGTTTAATGTTTGGTTCGATTTAGAACATCTTTCCAATGGTTGCTTAATTTGAAACCATATTCTCGGTTGAAATTGTGTCTGTGTTTGTAGATCTGAATTGCCTCGTGAACAAATCTCCGATAAAAACCCGTGGGTGTGCAAAGAACCTTCTGCCGTGGCTGATCACTGTTACAACGCTGTGGGTGATCACGATATAATTTTCTCCGATACCAAGGTTTTTTGCAAACCCACGGGTTTTTATCGGAGATTTGTTCACGAGGCAATTAAAATCTACAAACACAGACACAATTTCAACCGAGAAGATGGTTTCAAATTAAGCAACCATTGGAAAGATGTTCTAAATCGAACCAAACATGAAACTAATTTTCAATGGTACAGTATATTTTTTCAAGTAGTGGTACCCCAAACTTTCGCAGCTCTTAAGGATTCCCTTTTCACACCATCAATATGTAAACTCCCCCCCTCGCCAACCGGCATGTTCACCAGCATGTACACCACCTCTACATCGTTCATCATGCTAAGTCGGCCAATCAAATGCTAATTTCTATGCTAATTCCTTTGTCAAGGCACCTTGTTTCCTCGCACACAGCTTAAAGGTCGCGGTCTGAGCGTGGCTGTGTTTCACTCCAGCGCTGTCCTCGAGACAGCCTGGTCCCTTCACCTGATGAAGGCTGCTTGTGTTGTGGCCGAAACGTCGTGATTTTTGTTGTTTTATTTTTTACCTACGTGACTTTACCGAATAGAACCAAAGAGTATGGATCCTTTCAGTCACGAAAGCTTTAAATCTAGAAAAATAATGATGATTGTGCATCACACTTTGGCAATGTACTGCTGGATGAAGGCACCCCACGACTTCATCCAGCAGTAATGACCAGACAAATTTAAATGTAATATATAACACGTCTAAATGTTTACACCAATGGACCAATTACACAACAAAACACACTCTTGGGGCATCCACCCACAACAGCGGGGCAGACAGCCGGGAACCACGTGGCTGGACCGGGCCTGCATGGGCCGTGTTCACGTGACCTGAATCGCGGGCCGTTTGGGATGCCGCATTCATTCCCAAAGGTCATTGTTGTTATTTATATGCATGGTATTTCTTTTGACATGTAAGTGCAGCCCCATTGTTTTTTGAGATCGTGCCCAATAAACGCAACGTATTTGTATATACACACACACGTAAATATACACTCACACACATAACTATTCTCTGTTGAATTGTACTGACCTATTCGGACACGTCAGAGTCAGAATCTTTATCTATACTGGAGGAATCCTATGAGTTATATAAAGTAAATTTTCACAGATAAAAAGAGCTTCATGTTCAGTAAGTGCTATTCGCGAGCACCTATTTATGGTGGCACAACTGACGGCACCAGCCACGGTGTTGATGACCACGAACTTAAAAGAGTACTCGTTCAGCAAAAAACGTACTGAATAAGATGTCATATTCTTTGGGTCTTTCGGTGAAGTCACGTAGATAGGTTCAAAGAAAATAACAAAATACAAAAAACGACGACGTTTCGATCGCAACACAAGCGGCCCTCATCAGGAAACGACGACCGCTTGTGTTGTGATCGAAACGTCGTCGTTTTTTGTTAATGTATTTGAACCTATCCACGTGACTTTACCGAAGGACCCAAAGAGTATGAATTCCTGCAGTGACGAAAGCTTTAAGTCAGGAATAAGATGTCCCTATTGAATAGTTCAAGATGGTGCTACCGAACAGATGATCCTATTAAACAGCTCTCCGATGTGTTTTTGAGCTGTGACGCGTGTTGTTCGGCACGACGTCCGACGTTTCGCTTCCCGCAGCAGCAGAAATCACCAAGGCACCAACGTGCCGTTCTGGATGTTCCTCCCGGTGCGACGATACCCCCCCCCCCCGGCCAAGCCAGGCCTCCTGGGCAGGCACGGCCCGCGTGGTCGGGCGTGGCGCTCCGTGAGCCGCAGGCGTGAGGCTCCCCACGAGCGGTGGTCGGTCGTGGTTTGTCTCGGATCTGATGTCGACAACTCAAGCGTGGGGCAAGGGGAGCCAGAACGCCCGGCTGTTGGAGGCTGTCGCCTGATGAAGCTAGTTGTAATTACAGGCGAAACGTCGTACTCAAGATTGTAAATGTTGTGGCTTGGCTCTCCAATACACCGGTTAGTGCTGTACTAGTGACGAATTGGCCACGTTCTGTTGACGTGACAACCCTTACTAGTTGGCTGTGTCGGGTGGTGGCGGGCTTAATGACACATATATTTACGCGACCTAACCCAAAAGAACCTCTACTATGTTGGAGGCTAGCTCCGGCATCTGAACAAGCCCAGACGGCGGTGAGCGATGAGCTCCCCCCTCCCCCCCGTCTGTTTGGGGGAGAGCGGTGCGGGGGGATGCCACGGTGGCATTTGTGAGAAAATCTCACCACGTTGGTCCCGAGGATGATGCGCCGTTAACAAAGCTCATGGAAGGCCACGGGGACGCCTGGAATCACGACTCGAGTCGTAGTCTCCGGCTCAAAATCAGCATCTTCATTTGTCCTGGAGAAATCCCGATACGCTATGAAGCGATTTTCCACAGAGGTCCCAACACAGGCCTCGTGAGGAGTCGAGCGCGACTGCAAGGGGATGGCGAGCGTCGCTCGACGCGTAGCCGATGACGCAGCAGCAGCAGCAGCAGGAGGAGGAGGAGGCCAATGACAATTCTCCATCGCATCTCCACGTCGCATCGAGCACAGCAGCGCAGCCCACCAGGGTAGATGGACCCCTCCACCCCCCTCCACCGCGGCCCTGCGTGCTGGAGCGTGGCGGCTGTGGGACCCACGGACACCACGCTCCGGCACCCCTCGGCTGGGCCATCAACGCACGGAGCCCCCAAAGGACTCCGCCGATGAGCGTGGTCAAGAGCGCCGACGGCGGGGGCGGCGAGGAGCCGTGCGGTGGCAGGCGGCGAACTGCGTCACGTCACCGTCACGAGCAACGCCGGCGGGCAATGGAACCCCCGTTCATCCTCTGAACTGTAAATCATTATTAATGGGCCCAACATTTTTTTAAATTGTTTTTTTTTGGGCCTATCTACGTGGCTTTACAGAAAGACCCAAAGGATATGAATTCCTGCAGTCACGAAAGCTTTAAGTCAAGATTTCGAATCAGCATATTTATTTATCCTGGAGAAATCCGATTAACTATGAAGCGCTTTTTCACAGACGTCCAGTACACCACCACACAGACTGGTCACATTAACCAAGACAAAAAAAATCCACTTTAGCATTCATTTGCATCTTTTAAGTTTTTTTTATTGTTTATGTACTGTTTTCACAAACGCTTCTTTCGATACAAAAACACCCAAAAACACCCATCTACACATCCGAGGTGGGGGCGTCACAGTCTAGAGTTGTTTATTCACAACCGCACAACCCAGAGCCTCACTTTCTTTCTCACGTGGTGATGCCACTGGGAGAGTCAGCTGCTATCGGTATTAGGGGGCTTTAACAAAAGCACTTTAAACCCATGACCGCGAGGTTTTTTCTGTTTGCTTACATTTTCAAATGTCAAGGACCAGTACACGAGGCGCTAGTCAATACCAAAAGGTGGCGGTTTAAATGAGGGTCACCAACACAGCCAATCGCGTTTGAGTATTCTCCACCATGTGACCTTTTAATAACTGGACAAACGTGCTCTCACGCGAATCTGTTTAGGTTGACAAAAGTGCTCGCATTGGGGAAATGTTCCCTTCACCTCAAAAGGAGACTCGGCAAACTCAAGAGGCCTGTCAATGATTTGAACTTTTAAGATGTTTAACGCACACACAAATACATCTGGAGACACTTTCTGTCCACGATTTGGCAAAAGAATGGTGTTGGTGGCCAACAGGTTCATATTCTCCTGAAGTGCAGCAACAAGAACATGGCAATACATTCATTCGTAATGCGTGCGTGAAAATAAAACCCAACCACGTTCTCTTCAATGTTCCACGAAGTTTTCAATTCTCAGCGGAAGAAACGTTACGTTGCGAAATATCACCTTCCTTTCAAATGCCAACCTTTGCAGCTACAATTGCAATGTAAAATTATTTCGAGTTTAAAGAAAATGTTGAAGGGCATTTAATCCATTAAGCTACATGTATGTAGCCGTGTTCAAGGCAGTTGTATACAGCGACGTTTGTTTTTAGATACAGGAGCAGTAAAATATGTCCAGGGATAAACACGATGGCCCGTTCAGATGCACCCCACCGATACGTCTGCTTTTAAGTGTGACAACACGTTTGAAAAACATCAGTACGCATGTTTTCACTCCCTCGAAATGACAAGGCCGTGTTGTTTAACGAAGACTAGACACGTTTGAAAAGAAGTCTGGCTACAGTCAAAGAGGAGGAGAAACTCATTCCTGCTATTGCAATTGTTTAAAAAAGAGAAAGTAGTTAATTTGGGAAAACGCCGCGCTTCCCAGCAACACCACACGTCCTAAAAGTCCACGAGTTTACACACAAACCCAGCGACTTGCTTCCATAGACACGTTACTTACAGAGTGACACGGACCGTATATGTACAAGAGGGGAAATAAATAACGGCCAATGGGTTCACTGCAGTTCAACCGATCATAAATAGGGCATGTTGGCAAGGGGGTGGAGACGGAGGGGGGGAGGAGATGGTTAATGTTGGAGTGAAAAATGATGTCACAACACTTGTGCGGCCGTCTGGAATGCTCTTCATTCCGGTATTAGGAAGACTGGCACTACGCACTTTTAAATTTAAAACTATTTTGTCTACAACTGCTTTTTGTGTTTAGTTTGTTGTCCTTCCATAGCACCGCCGATTAGCACTGTCGGCTACGTACGGTGCGAAAGAAGTTCAACGTACACAGTACATGCTGAATTTGTCAATGTTCCTATGTGCAGTGATCGTGTGAACAGCATGCTGAAACGTTAATGGACCGCACTTTCTCAAGTTTGCTTTTAGATCCCGGTAGCTTATTCTACTAAACAGGTTTGTTCCAACTGCCAATCGCTTGTACTTAACAAAGCAGTCATCACAAGGTGGCACTCCACTCCCTCATGGGCCCACACTTCTGATGCAGGTTTTTGTTACGGGATGTTTTGGTAAGCAGCCTTTTGTATCATATTAAAACAAATGTGTTTAAACTACATTAATACTAGGGAATGACAACCAATATCTGCGTTTCATTAGGACATGCATTCACCCAAAGAAATAAAACATTTACATGTTTTAACTGGTTCAGCCTTTGAGTCCATGTTCCAGAGCAGATTGGATACCACCAAAGATCGCAACAGTTTAGTCCTAACGATTGAGAGTCAATTACTTGATAACCAACGCATTCTTAATATGGTTATCACGTTATTCACTGTTGTTGTCCACGTAAACAAAAATTATGCCACCTCGGGTGGCACCGACGAGTGAGGCGCCCGGTCCCAGCTCGTTGACCATCATCTCAGGTGGGCACTGTCGGCAAGCGGCAGGCCACGCGGCGCCGGCGGGGGCCAGCGATGCCGCGCGTCCACTCCGGCCGAGTCCCCGGCTCCAGTGGCGACGCCGCGTCCGGTCGACAACCGCCGGGAGAGACGACGTCGCGGAAGGCCGCACGCCTCGCACCGAACCCGGGTGACAACGATCGACGGACTTGGGCAGGGTCAGGAATCAAACTCAAGCGGCCGAGGCTACCAGGCGGCGCGCGTGGCCGCACTGCCGCCGACGCCGACGAATCGCACCGCGCCCGGGAATCGACGAGATCCCAGCCCAATAAGTCGGTGTGTAGTACTTCACCACTACGGCTAGGCCTGTGTAGATGGCTCAAGGGGAACGTCCAACAGCAGGAGGAACTCTGGGAACACCACGATGCAGGAGGTTACGACTAGCCTAGGGATAATCCTACGGATGGGATGATGCGGTTTGCAAGGGAACCATCGTCCAGGTACGATATTAATCCGTAGCTCCACGCGAAGTCACTAACTTTGGCAATGCTGTAGTTGCAAGTAGATTTTTGCGCGTTATCGATGGACAACACAGTGAAATGGACGCTTACGCTAGTTATAATTTGAACGGACCGATTTTGTTAAGGTAGTATAAAGATACTATGAAAAAAAAAACCGGTTTTATTTTCCAGATGTAGAACAATGCAGAGACGAATGTGATCTGCATTTAAACGCCCTAATTTCATGATTCAGCACCGTATTTTACAATATGTACAAACGATACCAACATGCACGTCGACCAGTGGCTATTTTACAATGTACTAACTATTGATGAAGGTTGTGAGCCGACATTCAAACAGTACCAACTAAAGCACAAAAACTAAATGAGCTACAGTATATCAGAAAATAAAGACTGCGTTAATTACCAAAATCGTTAAGCGATATAGTCCGTAAGATTAGAGTTAAGATACGTCTTAAGTTAATATAGAAAAAGAGCTAAAGGGGTTTGTTTGAAATAGCGTAGTTAAATACTGTCTAAGGCATAGCGATCGGAGTTTATCCAGAATAATCTATGAAACACTACAAGAGAACGACGTGAAAGCAGCAATTGTGTACAAAAACAAAATAGCCGTCTTGAGTCTTGCAACTGGGAAACAGAACTCTGGGCAGCAGTAGAAGTCACAGAACCTGGTCAGCTGTTTGATAACCTGCAGCAGTAATCGCATTTCCGCTGACGGTTGTTCAAGTTTCTTTCCGCAGCGGGGAAACTCGACTTGACGCGGCACAGTCGGGATGTCTTCGTGAATGCCTCCCCCCCCCCCCCCCCCCCCCCCCCCCCCAAGGCGAGGGGGTTTCAACTCCCAAAGCCGCGCCAAAAGGTCAGCACGGATGCTGGACACAGCCTTGAAAAATTGGAAGACGATAGTGTACGGATCAAAAATATGTAATGCAGAGGTCGGCACATTTAGGGTTAAATACTCCTCCGTTTGCACGTTGATACAAGTGCCTGCATGCCCCCACACAGTTTCGTTACAATTGTTGCCGTTGTAAAATATGGGGCGTGTAAGCCTCTTTCACGAAACGAAAACAAGAAAGGACTTGGTGTCTGTATGATAATGCAAGCCCTGCTAATATCAAAGTGGATAACACAAGGCTATCGTTTTCTTTATTAACTGGCAAAGCACGCCGAGTTCACTACGTACGCCTTCATTTACCACCTGCACCACATGATGAAATGAATACCGGCGAAACGAGAGTCGTGAGCTGAACAAACCTTTAAACGAGACACGATGACGAAAAAACCTAAAAAAGAAAATAACTCGAATCCTAAAAGGTAATAAGTCACGGGAATAACCGCTAACACTGTGTTACTACTACGGGTAGCTCAGGCTGCCACACGTCGAGCTCTTCCCTGCGGGTGTCCAGTCTCTCGAGGGTCACACTTGCAGCAGCTTCGCCTCTTCCTCGCTTTTCAAAAGCATCCCCCGAGTCCAGAAAGGGCCGTACGGGCAAGCAGGTCGCTCAGACCCTGCCCCATCACGGCGGCGGCGGCGGCGGCGAGTGAAACGGTCCCAACGGTGCGGGGTGGGGGGAGTAGTGGGGGTCGTGCGTCACGCCCCCAAACACTCGCGCAGAAATCGCTCGCAGAGTGCGCGGTGGCGGTGGTGGAGGTGGCGGCTCCGCGTGTGCCATTGACCAAGACGGCCGTTGCCGTGGCGGTCGCTCCGCGTGGGGGGGGGGGTGGGGGAGATGCGGGATCGCCGAGGTTGCCCGGCTGGCGGAGGGAGATTTTTCCAGCGGACGTCTTGCTCGGGGGGTCCGTCCCCAGTCGGTTTGGTCTCGGATGGCTCTGGGATGGCTCTGGGATGGCGATGCACGGCAGGGCGGCTGGGGAGGTGGCAGGGGTTCTGTTGCTGCGAGCGGAACGGGAGTTGCTCCCGCCCCCCCCTTCTCAGTGGGCACCCCTCGCCTGCTGCACCCAGTCGGAGATGATGAGCCCCATGCTGGCGAACATGAAGAAGATGCCGGACACCAGGAATATGAAGGCCTGCGGGACGAGTCAAAAGCGGGGCTGTTAGGAACGCGCGCACGCACGAACGCACGCACGGCGAGTTCAAACGCGGATGGCGATGCGACCACGCGTCTGGTTGTCATCTGCGCGCGGTTCGCTCGTTGATCAGCTTCGCTTAAAGATTTTCGGACGGCGAGAATGCAAACGGCAAAAGGTAACGCGAGTAAATAAAGCGGCTTCTACAAATGTGTGAAGTGAAAATGTGGCTTTACTGGGAGATAATTGGTGGTTGTTTTTTTCCTGTTCTGCACGTTCATACGGAAGGGGACCCAGTAACTCCGTGCTCACAACGTTCACATTTTGCCGTATTTTTGCACCAGTCTTTGCACTCAACGTTTTGGCCTCGCATTTTACCCCAGGCCTCGCCTTAAATCTTTTTGTCTCAATGCACTCTTCGCCAATGTCCAACTATTATTATTTACTAATGCTACTACTACGGCGGATGAAGCGATGGTGGACTGGATCGTGCAGCTACATCAGAAGGCGAGCAACATCCCCACTGACCAGGGTGGTGAAGTATGGTCAAACATGACCAAACGGTGCAGGGAGGCCTTTATCCGATAATGCATTGATAATTGGCCCTACTTTTTTTTAATTTGTTACTAATTTACAATTAACACTTATTGTAACTCTGCAACTACAGCTCATTTTCAAGTAATGTACATTTTCATTATGGCCTTGGTATACAAATTATCTACCGATTGCAAACCAGGTGACGGTGGTCCGAGTGTTCACTTTACCGCAGAGGTAGCAGTACACCGGCGGTATGGAACCTAAGTACTCTTTATCACACTGGGGTCTCGCAAGCCGGCCCCTCAATTACAGAACACTGCCAACTAATCAATACCTGCTCTGCCACCAACTTGCAATGTTTAATAAACCGGCGTTTGCAAACTGTTACCGAAGGGAGTTTCCACGTACATTGAAAGCGTCAAAAGGATTTAAATGAATACGAGCGTGCGTGCTCTGCTTAAACGAAACACAATAAACAAGACAGCTTGTTATTAAAGTCATGACGGTGGAGCCATTACGGTTGCATTCTTTTTTGGGTGCAAAACTTACTCCGATCTTCTGCTTGGACTTGAATGGGTATTTCTTGACTATCTTGATGTAAAAGGCGGACGGGAGGATGAAAATGAGCATTGTAGCAGCGGACGCCCCTGTAAAGAGAAAAAAAAATATCCCCAAAAAGCCCAACCATCCAAACGGTCAATTCAGCACGAATCACGGAGCGAGCACTCTCAAAAACTACAGCCGTTACGTACGAGCGGAAATTAGAGCCAAGGTGCGGTAGACTCTTCCGCCCATTTACCGCAAGGACATCCTTTCTTGTTACAAATTATATCCCAATTGCACGTTGCCTGCATCAGGGCACAGACAATGGTGGTGACAACGCAATTCGGAACACTTACATGAGGGCCACTGTGATGATGACACCCACTGACTGGCTTTCGTGCGACATCCCTACAATGGGTCTCTCTTACCAGCACGAAGACAGTGGCCTTCCCAACGAGACGGGGAAGTGCTTCCTACCCTAATGCTACCTTCGCAATTTTACACCTGCCGAGCTGTGCTGGACCGGATCAATCTGGAACCAGGTTTACACGCGTTTTTTTGGTGCAAATGCAGTGATGTTGAAAGAAACGAGAACGTATTTTCAATCTTGAGTAGGCAACTGGGTTTTGAACACAGACTCTCAGTGGTGCCAACTCAAAACTTTACGCATCGTCGTCATCATTGTCATCATTGTCATGATTGTCATGATTGTCATCATCGTTGTCGTCGTTATCCTCGTCGTCGTCACCATCATCTCTCCCTTCGCTGCAACGCCTGTGGAGACACCACCGATGCTCCTGCTGTCACCTCTCTCCACTTCTGCCGATCCCTTTGCTGCCCTTGCCAGGCCTTGTATCCGCTTATCGGTCCACATTCTCACATTTGTCACCCAATTGCCCTGGGGTCACACCGTCTCCTTTCCACTTCCGTCTAGCGCCGGGCCCGTAAGACGATGTCGGAGAGTCCCCCGTCTCGTGTCGCGTGTCCAACCCATCGCAGTCTCCCTTTCCTCCACCGTTGTCCGTGCTGGCGGTCAACGTTCTTCCATCAATTTTGCGACCTCCGCTAAGAACCGATTCGTGCGTCCGGCGACCCCACAAGCCAAGCCAATATGCATTCAACCGTCTCTAACGCACGTCGTTCATTAAAAAAAAAAAACTAATCTGCGGCCAAGTATTTGTCCGAAATATCGGGCGAGTCTCGGGGTCGGCGGCACACGACTGTGGAGGCACGGCGGCGTGCGCAGCGGTAGGCGCTGCGCGTTGCGGAAGGGCAAGACGGTCTCGTTGAAATAAAAACGTCGACTCACCGATGAAGCCGAATATGTCACGGATCGTCGGCACGAAGATGACCAGGATGTTGACGAACACGAGCAGGCACAGAGCGATGGCCACGTGGCGGATCCAGTTGAACTGCTTGTTCTTGAAGAGCAACTCCTCCACGGACGAGCGGATCTAGAGGGAGAGGCGATGACAAAAACGCGTTCCGTCACTCCGCCGTCGCTACTGCTGCCACCGCTCTCAAGAACTTCACTCAATTCCTCCCCCCATGTGGCGGATTCGGGTCACTCGGGGCGACCCCCCCCCCACTCGGGGCGACCCCCCCCACTCGGGGCGACCCCCCCCACTCGGGGCGACCCCCCCCACTCGGGTCACTCGGGGTGACCCCCACTCAGACCGCTTCCACTCATCTACGCCGTGCTCAACTGCGTTGCGTAAAGGGCTGCATGCCGGTTCAATCCGTGCAACGTAAAGTGAGCAAGCATGCTGGAGGCTTGCAATTCCTGAGATTAAAGAAATAAATACTCTTGTTTCAACATGACTAGATATAGACACAACAAAAAATACCAACAACGATAATGGGTTATTACTCATTTCTAAATCTGAAACGGAGCACGATTGTGAATCGTCCAAAAGGATACAACTGAAAAGAATTTGCTTTGTCTCCACTCACAGTGGTTCCAGGTGTTTCTGTAGATTCACATTTCGCTTAGAATCTGGAAGGACGCGGCTCAAATCGCTCGCAATGAGAATCTTTGTCGTGTGGACGCCGTTCACGACGTACGTGTTGCGGACTCACAACGCGGTCCATTTGTTTCACCAAGGGAAGGAACTTTGCAACGAAATGGATATTTGGCGCAATTTTTTAAAACTAATTATACATTCGAGAGTTCATATGTTAGGAGTGCACACTCCCGCCAAAGGCTACGCGACGAAAACTTTCAAGTACGTACATCACAACTCAATTCTTTACCACAGTATCCAGCTGCAAACAATTTCAATAGCTCGGGCGTGCCACATGATAACTTCAAATCGCCGTTCTTGCCATCGCCGCAATCCAGCGCTGCCGATTTATTAACGCAGAACTGCATTCGCCTCCCCAGAAGCGTTTGTGCAGGTTCGAACGATGGCATCGGCGCACGTTTCTGCTACTTTGCTCTCAAAATAGAACGCCCGCCGTCTGCGATGGCACAACAACAACGCCGCTGCTGCTGCCTTTCTAGCGAGGTCATCTCGGTGGCGGATTCCCGACCGCCGCGCACGACCCCACGGGATCGCAAAATTGCCTGCGGGGCCAATTTGAAAGGAAATGACCTGGCGCTTGTATGCGCTAATGGCACCGTTAGATGCTCTCTTCTCGTGGAAATTTTCTTAAAGGAGTGAAACTGTATTATGTCATTGTGCCAGTTTATTTATTTGAATGAATGCGTTAATCAAAGTGGCAGCTAACGAACAAAACGCGTCCCAATGTACGCCCGCCGAGGAGATGGAGTGATGAAATCAACTCAAGCACAAGGCCTTGGACGGATTACTGCAGCCCAGGATCGTGAGAGAATGGCAAAGGCTTTGGGAGGGTCCTCATCCAGCAGTGGATTGATCGTGGCAATGAAGATATTAAAAATGTGTTGACCCATCCAACAAATGGGTGGGGGTGTTGCGCTGCGTTGAGTGTGGATAATAAACTGTACAGCAGCGTAGATTACACGACTCTACATTTACCACTGGGACCACCGTGAAAACGAGATTCCAGATAGAGCGGCGTGCCATTTTACACAACCCCATTTATTATTCTCGCCAAGCGTCATCCTGTGGCAACAGCCGCTTCGGGTTTTGCGAGTGCTGTAAATCCAACCGCACCTTGACCCAACGCCTACGTAATTACCTATGGTATTTCTCTACCGGATCCATCTTTACCTTCTTCAACGATTTTTAGATTTTTTTTTTGGCCACACGAATACTCTTTCAGACGACAACACCCTTCTGACGTTTAAATGTAAGAGAAAAAAAAACTTAAAACAAAATCGCCAATCTTCAGAAGATGAAAACGTGCCGCTCTATTTCACAAGCTCTTCCCTGCTGGTTGTTTACGAGAGCAGGGCCGCAGCAGCACAGCAGCCCCCCTCCCCCCTCCCCCCTCCACTCGTCCTCTTGACGTCAACTTCTCCGTGACCATCGCCGAAAAACCAACAGCCCCACCGCGGCACAGCATGGCCGGGGGCACAGGCCCAGGCGGTCGCGAAACAAACAACATCCGTTTTTCCAGCACTCTGCGAGTAAATAAACAGCTCGACTCGTGGCCTGCTCTTAATGGCGTCACGTGACGCTCGCGTCCTCCTCTACTCCCAGACCGTATGGGCACCACAGTTTGCTAGGAGATGTTAACTACCTCGCCTGGTTTCCAGAAGGTCGTGGGGGTTCGATCCCGACCCTGACGCCTGCTGCTGTATATTTGCAGTCTGCGTGTCTCTCTCTCTCTCCCCCCGTGATCGCGTGGATTTTGCTCCGGGTCCTCCAGTGTTTTCTCCACATTTAGAATCGACAGCATGAGTTTTAAGAGTATTTGGCTGCTATAAATGTCCACATGACAAGCCGTTTTGTTGAGCTATTAGTTGGGACAGCCAGGTCGCTTCTGAAAAAGAGCTACGTGGCTCAGTGGGCCTTACCTGGTCAAATACCAAATAGTTTAGTTTTTAGTTTTGGCACCGCGTACTCAAGCGGCTAAAGCAAACGAGCGAGCGAGCATGCGAGCGCGCTTCACTCGACACCTCCCGCAGCACGGCGCCCCGGCGACCGCCGTCTGCTTTGTGTTACCAAAACGGGCGGCGCGGAAGGGGCGCTGGCAAAAAAAAAAAATCAACGAAACTTAAAAGCGAGGGGGTTTCACTCTCGCTTGGCGCAATCAGAAAAAGACCGGCGCAGCTGGTGGTGGTGGTGGTGGTGGGGGTTTTTGTTTACCGAGACGAGGGCACAAGAGGGGGTGAGGGGGCCCTGGCCCGCCAGCCGCTACCACCGTCGCGTCAGCCCCCGGGCTGTACCGAGCGTTTGGGTTTTAAAGTCACGCTTTGCCGAGACGCCGAGCGGCCAGCAACAAGCGGCGCACTGCCCAAGGTGTCGTTATTTTGAAACCGAATCTGTGGAGTGGTCACCGGAAGCCGAGAGTGCTCATTAGGAATCCGGGCCGAATGCGGGATCAAGATTTAGCTCCAGTGACCGGCACGAGCGTTTATTTACCTTTCAACCGGTGTTAACGCGGAAAATTGGAGAAACGTATACATTAAAAAACGCAGCGCAATGTGGTACGTAACTCAATTAAAGGGGTTTGCGTCAGCAGGTAACAAGACGGACAAAGAACGCCTCTGACTTGCCTCTACACACGGATTCATGAGAAAACCACTGAGCTCCACAGCACAACGCCGCTCGTTCAGCGTGCCTGGCATTCGCAGGCGCGCTGTGCGCCACGAGGGGCGTTCGAAGGGAAACGACGTTCAAGGGGCCTGATGTGGCGATACCCGAGCAGCGGGACGCGGACGAGGAGGTCGTAGCGAGAGAAATGGAGAGAGAGAAGGCAGGAGGAGCCGTGGCGAGGGAGAGGTGCCGGGCCTCACCGGGAAGAGCACGATGGGCACGGTGAGGGTGACGGCCACGAGGACGGCGAGGCGCACGAGCATGATGAGCAGGTTGTAGGGGTCGCTGTGCAGGAAGGTGTGCAGCAGCTCGGGCTCCACGTTCTCTGCACGACGATCAGAGCGGAGCACAACGGTCACCGCCGCCACCGCCAACATCGTCGCCGTTGTTAGACTCGCGACACCCGCACGTTGAACTTCTTCCGCACGCTACGTAGCAAACCGTGCTAATCGGAAGCGCGATTAGAACGCCGTTAAGTGATGAGCATCCTTGATGGTTTGTGGAGTAACAATGAAGGATGCGCATCGCTGATTAACGACGTGCCAAACGCTTGCAAGTCGGCGGGACAAACTGGCCCCCGTGACATCCTTTTGTGGTAAACATCCAAGCAAGTCTTGAAAAGAATGTCTGATTTTGGCAAATGGCATTTTGTATTCAAACTTTTGAGCATGGTCGCTTTAAACATTAATTGCTTATTTTACATTTACAAGATAGTATTGGTGGACAATAATACCGATGAAACATATTCGGTCTGTGTTTTTATCCGGCCATTCATGCAAACACGTTCCATAACGCACCAATTTGTAGTCGGACATCCACCCCCAAGTGGAGGTGACGTCCCTACATCGCTTGTGCCAGGCTAGGTGCACTTTGAGGTTCTCATGCGAAGTGTCGAAGGCTCGCTGGCAGGAGGTCACGGGACAGACCCAGCTGCTACACGTCGACCGACTGGGATGCCTCCTCCTCCTACTCCCCCCAGAGCAACACAAGACAAAGATCCCCCCGGTAGCCTTTAACAGACTGCCGGGGCAAGTGCTGGCAGCGAGTAGCACCTACGAAGGCCGGTGCGCCACACTAGGGTCAGCGTCATGCCCGACCGTCTTTGTCTCCCCAATGCCGGTGTTTAACACGCCGCACCACCGTGCACTCACGAGGCCGAGTCGACCCAGGGGGAAGGGGGCCCAGGACCGGTTCGGATATCCGTCGCCGGTGTCGGCCGTGAGCGGGAATCGAACTCGGGTCACCGGGTTCGTAACTCGGCTACCCCACCCCCACAGACAAACGCAGAGTGCCCCCCAGGATTTGTTCGCTCCGGCACTCACCGTAGAAAGTGAGGTATCCAAAGACGGCGGTGAGCAGGTACATGATGAACATGAAGAAGATGGAGATGTTGGACACCTGCTGCATGCGTGCACGTGTCGGCCTGAGGCGGAGAAGACACGCACGCGGGGTGAGCCACGCGGGGTGAGCCACGCGGGGTGAGCCACGGGGGGTGAGCCACGCGGGGTGAGCCACGCGGGGTGAGCCACGCGGGGTGAGCCACGCGGGGCGAGCCACGCGGGGTGAGCCACGCGGGGTGAGCCACGGGGGGTGAGCCACGGGGGGTGAGCCACGCGGGGTGAGCCACGCGGGGTGAGCCACGCGGGGTGAGCCACGTGGGGTGAGCCACGTGGAGCGAGCCACGCGGGGTGAGCCACGCGGGGTGAGCCACGCGGGGTGAGCCACGCGGGGTGAGCCACGGGGGGTGAGCCACGCGGAGCGAGCCACGGGGGGCGAGCCACGCGGGGTGAGTCACGGGGGGTGAGTCACAGGGGGTGACCGACGCACGACGCGCTCCCAGATTTGCCGCACGGCAAACTGTGAATTCACAGCGGTGGTGGCGGCCCCGCTAGAATCACAATATTCACGTATAACTTGGAGGAATCCGATGAGCTACAAAGTGGCTTATCACGTGGGTACTCCCAGAAACCCCCCGTGTCACATGACCTCGTTTAAAGGTGGCGGCGGGGGAACGTACACCAACTCAGCGGGGCGCGAGACGTCAATCACTCGGTTAGAAGAATCTAGAAGGGAGGCTGAGCCAAGAGCGGGGGGGGGGGGGGTTGAGCCCCCTCCAGCCAACCAACCCCCGCGACGATAGCGGCAGATGAGACGCCGCCCAAACGAGGAGCGGACAGCCAGGAGGGACGGGGTGTGGCGAACGTGTGCGCATTGACGACAAATGCCTTCAATCAACCACCCACCTGTCAATCAACCACCCACCTGTCAACCACCCACCTGTTAATCAACCACCCACCTGTCGACCACCCACCTGTTAATCAACCACCCACCTGACGATCGGTCAATAATGAGGCTAAGACAGACAGCTGTGCAATGGGCAATGATGCCGTACGGCCCCGTTGTCTAAACCACTTCAAGTCCACCGTCTCATCCTTGATGTAAACCAACGCAGTGTCAAGCAAAAGGCGAATTTTATAATGAACAGACACACGTTTAACCAACGTCGCCGGCATAAACAGAAACCAAAGCTCGTGTACGCCACGTAGTTTTACGTCAAATCTGAAAGCCTTTCCAAGGAAAAATATACACGGGGGACACTCCGTTCTCGTTTCGCGAACGGGGATGAGCCGCGTGGCGTTTCATTCGCAGCGATGGGCAACGGCGGGGGCATTATGCGCGCGACGACGCACCTTTTGAGCTCGGTGTAGATGGGCAGGACCTCGGGGTGGCACACGAACGCAAACGCCAGGATGGGCACTGCGTACGCCGTCTATAGAGACAAAAAGACGCACACGAAACACCGGCGCAATAACGTTGGCGGTTTTACCCACGCAGCTAGGCATCCCGTCGGCTTGACCAGAGCAGTTAAACAGTTCGCACAGGTACGTTGTAAAAGTCAACGGACGACTTGGATACATACAGGTTTCGCTCGCTGTGTGTGGTAGGAGGAGAGGAGTTCAAACAAAAGGGCGCACAAAGCGAAATCGCACGAGAAGGCAGCTGACTGCCTAGTCGCACACACAGTACACACACACAGTACACACACAGTACACACACACAGTACACACACACAGTACACACACAGTACAAACACAGTACACGCACAGTACACGCACAGTACACGCACAGTACACACACAGTACACACACAGTACACACACAGTACACACACACAGTACACACACACAGTACACACACAGTACACACACTACACACACAGTACACACACACTACACACTATACACACAGTACACACACAGTACACACACACTACACACACAGTACACACACAGTACACACACAGTACACACAGAGTACACACACAAAGAGTACATAAACAACGTCCCACTGCATGTGGGGGAAATCAAATCGCATACAGAGGATATTGTTTGGAAATAAGTTATCCGCATATGTACGCGAAATCGCACAACCCAAGCCCGCATTAAGCGAGGGGAACCTGGTATTGGTAAAGGTCAAAATAAAAGTAAATCAACTGCACGTTGACAATGAAATGAAGACGCTTACTAAACTGGGCCCCTTGTAAGATGGCAAGCCCAGTCTTCTGCCTCTTACATATCTCAAGAAGAGCCACTGCACAGAACACTGTTAAAATATTTTTACTTATAAAAAGGCAATATTCGTTATTAAAGACAAGGATATTGTTTCTGTTTCAATGTTCACGTTTCTATTACAATGCTAACGCAGTACGTGACATTTTATCTGTAATAAAACAAACCGAAAATGTCAGCTCGCCTTCTAAAAGTTAGCAAGCTTAAAGCAGTAAGCTGGATGAAAATAAATAAATACATAAATAAATAAAATACGGCAAAGTCAAGGCGTATCATAGTTCAAAACAACCACGGGGCGGGTCTCGTTTCCGATGGCGTCAACGAGTTAGCCAGTGGTGGAAACTCTACATTCCCATGGCACGACACAGCGGTAGACATACACGCGCACACACACACACGCACACACATACAAGCACACACGCACACACACACGCATATATATACACACACACGCACACACAAATACACACACACGCACACACAAATATACACACACACACAAAAACACACGCAAACACATACACGCATACACAAACACACGCATTACACACACACACACATATACACAAACACACAAGGCCATGGGCCCAAGCCGCACAGCTCTCAGAGTGGAATGAGATGCAAAGGGCTCAACGCAACCGCACACACGGAGACGTCGTCACACGTTGCACCACGATGGGAAAAGCAAAACGTCACGGGACGCAAATTGTAAATGTTGTAGTGCGTTTACTCTCAAACACACAACCGGTTAGTGCTGCACTAGCAACTAAATTACGACTAATATTATACACAAGAGGTTTTTTGGGCTAGATTGCGTCAATATAAATGTGTCGTTAAACCCGCCACCATCCAACACAGCCAATTAGTTTGTCACGTAAACAAAATATGCCAATCAATTACTAGTTCAGCACACCGGTGTGTTGGGGAGCAAACCCGTAACATATACAATTCTAGTACGACATTTACATTTACATGATCTAACCCATAAAACCCTTACTGTGAGAATAACATGGTTCGCGTGAAGCCCGCTACTGCCACCACCACCACGGCGTGTTGAACTCACCTGCGAGTTGAACACAAAGTACTTGGCTGTGCACGAGTCATCGAGCGTGCCGTTGAGGTCGCCGCTGCCGTGAACCTCGCCGTTGGTGTACAGCTTCTCCACGCCGTGCGCCGGGCTGTGCAGCGTGCCGTTGAAGGTCACGTTCTCCGCCTCGTCCTCAAACGGGCACGGCAGCGTGAACTTCTTGTAGATGATCTGACGGAGCGCGCGGTGGGGGGCGGGGAAACATTCTGATGTTTGGTCACGGTTGGCGTGATTGCGGCCGTGCGCCCCAAACTGCGGAGCGGGCAGTAAATCACCGTAGTCTGCGTTCCTTCAACGGAGGAGGAACATGTGTATGTTGAGCTTCTTTCGCACCGTACGTAGCCGACCGTGGCCATCGGAGGTGTGGAGCTCGACATTGGCATTTAGCTCCAGAACATTGCCGTATGCAAGAATAGAATAATAATAATAATAATAATTCACTATGTTTATTGCGGAAAAGTCTCACTGAGAAGAGAAGTATTCAGAGTTTTTTTTTCCATGAGGTGTCTGCAATGGGTTGGCTGACCGATTCCTAATAAGGAGTGTTGTGAGATGTGGAAGGAAACGAGAGTTAAATATAGATAACAAGGGAATAACACTCAAGGCTACGCACAGGCATATTCTAGAATACACTGCTGCAACGCAACATCTTGGCAAACTCGCAGCCCGCGACTACAACACTTCGGTATATCCGGGGGCAGACGACGCATGCGAGTACTGTCCAGCCTCAACCCCGCTTAGCTTCTGGGATACGATGAGATCGAGTGCATTCGGGCGATTTGTACATCGTCGTCGGGCGTGGAATTCCGAGCGTCAAATCCGGTGGAGCACGCCGGCGACGCTCGACCGCGACGCGTTCCAGTCGGAGCTGCCGCCGCCGCTGCTGCCCGCCACTTTGGCGCGTTAAAATTGACAGGTACCGGGGCAACCGGCTCTGCGGTGGCTCCCGTCCACAGGAGCGAGCGCAGGCTCGGCATCCTGGGTCAAAGCCCCCAAGGGTCGTGGTTTCCCGTGACGGGGCCGTCGCAACCAGCCGGCGAGCGACTATATCCGTCTCAGCCGAGTCACCAAAAGGATATTAAATATATATGTACGTGAATCCGGTGTAGATAGCTGCGAGAACGGACTAACTGGTGACAAATGAAGCCAGAGGCGCTCTTGACCAATGCGGCAACGTGCCGTGCGAGTTTAGATGCCGGGTGAGAGTGCGTTTTTAAGTTTTTATCGTGTGCAGTGACTGAATGGAGTGATTGGGGCCAATGATAGAAGGCACGATGAGATCTCAACGTTTGTTTTGTTTCAAAAGCATTTTCGACCACAGATGAATGGACTTGTCATTTATTTATTTTCTTACTAAAATAAGAAAGGCATACATACCACAATTTGGAAGAACACCATGCAGGCCAAGGAGAATGTGCTTGTGTATCCCAAGTAACCTGTGAATGAGAAAAAAAACCAAAATTACTTCACTAAAACATGGCATCAACGCTCATTTGACAGTTTAGTTGCACGCACGTTCATGTGCTGGTTACGTAAACCCTCAACAATGCGTTCATGCAAGATCTTGTTGAGATTCATAGCTTTGAACTCTGGCTAAACACAGCAGCAGCAGCAGCAGCAGCTCACCGCATCAGCCCCTTGCTGGATTTTCCCCAGCACGGTGCCAAATATAAATGCGGCTTTCAGTTTTCCTGGCGTAACACGAACCGACTGCGGAAGCAGCCAACTGACACACGGAGCGGTGGGGCCGTCGCCATCACCGCTTTGCCAAAGCCACGGTTCGTGCCCCGACCTGCCACATGCGGCGGTCCCCGTTTCCCCTCCCCCCCCCCCCCCCGGCTCTGCGCCGTTACCGGGTCACCTTCAAGAGGACGCCGATGCGCCGGGCAGGCCCATCGACCGAGGAAAAGGAAAAACGGCAAAGCAAAAATCCTGGACTCACCGATATTCTTCATGAGCGAGAGGGGGAGAATGATCGCGATGCTCACGAGGATGACCAAGTAGTTTCCATTCAGATACCAGGGACTGAAACAGAAAATTTAAATTGCGTAAGAACGAGAGACCGATCGTTAAATGCACGAGAGAAACGATACTTTTGCGAGAGGAGGAGGCGAAGCAACGATTGAAATTTGGGTGCGGTGGGGGTATGGGTTGGGCTCTCGTTACAGAGGCCCTCCCCCCTGCCACCCCCGTGTGTTGGGGCTAACCCTCATACCATATACAAACAAGGCAGCAGATCCGGCCGGTGCAAGAAATAGCTCATAACGTGAGGGCCTGTGCCCTGCGTGACGATCGTAGAGCGAGCGCGTGACCGCAGCCAGGTCAATATCAAGAGCACCGTTAATCATCACGACAGCTTTCAACGGAAGACGCGATGAAGGTGGACACTATAAGCAAATGCACATGTGAATGTGACTTATTTATACTTAAAACATTAATTCAGAAGGTGATTATATAACACTGAGGGTTGCGAGTGCCGTGTATTCGACATGCACAAAGACAAACGGCATCCTCTTCGCTCATGCTCACAAGTTATTAATTAAAGCGGCTATTATAGTTGATACAGCAGGCGGGAGAGGGGGGGCAGTCATCAGCGCCAGGCATGGCTGCTGTTGTCTCTCTCCACTACCCGAGGTTGCCACACCACCAAATCATTGTTCTGCCTCTATTAACCTTAGGGGGAAGGGCAAGGTCAGATTGAGAATCGAATTGTCGGTCGTGGTCTGCTTGGCCAGAGTTAAAGCCGTGTAATCTGGGATCTAGGTGGGTGCGTGCTACCCCCTAAGACACCACGACAGCGAGGTGCTCACGTGCACATCCACACAGAAACGCACGCAGACTAAAGACAAAACGAGGACGATAAAAACCAAACACAAATGAGACGTTCAATCATGCTCCATATGGGGAAAAAATCAATACGGTAATAACAAAGCCAGCTAACGTTTCAAAACAGAGCAGACCGAAGTGGAGTTTGTCTAGACGCCTTCATGGGGTGGTAAACCATGTCACAAATCACGTGTAAATCTAGCCACTCCGAGTCCCCCCGTTACACCGTTACCGTACTCAAGTGCACTTGCAATGTCTTGGCCATCACCGCTACCGCTCCGGGTCATTTACCCCGCGGTGGCGGCACCGCCTTGCGTCCTTCGGTGGCCAGGCAGCCACGGCGGGGTCACGTCGCATGGCAAGCGAGCGCAAGCAGAATTCAATCGCACCCCCCGCCCCCCCCCCACCGCGTCTCAGTTACAGATTCTCCGCATAGCGCACGGCTCGCCGACGCACGTGGCTGCCAGGGCACGGTGGGACGAGTCCGGTGCTTTGCTTTTTTACATTTTTATTTTCCTTCCACCACTGTCCCTTCCCTAAGCGACAGGGCACTATCCTGGCTCGAAGTCCAAGGGACTTTAGGCCAGCAGTGCGGACAGACTGTCAAGGCTTGCGCGGTCCCACGCCTGCGATCCAACAGGCTGGTGGATCGCGTACGTTTGTGAAACTAAAAAAACCCGCCGGGACTGCCAGCACGTGGTGGGGTGAGCCCGGCAAAGTTGGTTTAACTTCCACCTCCGCCTTCCCATAGCAACCCACCTAGAAGTCACAGGGCTTCGCTAGCGTGGAGCACAGACTGTAGCGGTTTGTGTGGGTCCCCGTGTGCTGCCTGTGATGTGGCGCTCTGTGGGTGAAGGTTGGCGGATCGTGTCCGTCTCTCAAACTCAAAGAGATTGCTGGGGCTGCCCACAGGAGGCCGGGGGATGGCAGCGCAGCAAGTGGGTGTCACAAAATACGTCTCTGTGGATCTTTGAGTGCTGTTCCCTTTCTCTTTGTGTATCTTAGTTTCTACCAGCAATAAAGAAACGTCACTTGAAACTAACCATGCCAAATATCCCATTGCAAGACCCTGCATTGGTAAAATTAATTACTATTATTATTAATTCCCACTATTGATTTCCCCAAAGTGGAACTAATTTCTTCGACCTGAGCATAGAGAGGTGGGGTTGGGCTGACCCCCGACCGGGTATTGAACTCATGCCCTTACAAGTCGAGCACTCTCTCTGTGGCACTACAAGGTCAGACATTATTGTCACAACTTCATATTATTGTTACAACTTAATACTGCAATGCCAGAGCAAGGAACGGGTTTCTGGCCGCCCTATACTTGCGATGCTCAGAGAGCGTTAGCCTCTCCACCTCGCTAATCACCCATGGCTGGAAGTGTTAAGCCTGCGGGATAAAACGGAATGCCAAAGCGAGGCTAGCGTTTCTGCTGCTGCTGCATCTGCTGCTGCTGCTGCCCGTGGATTGTGTTGCACTAAAGGGAGCTCAATCGTCGTGCCAGCAAGATGATAATTTTGCTGCAGCTTGGCAAAGCCACCTGGGAAGACTGAAGGGCCAGCGTAGGTGACAGCCGACGCTATAAATGTGGACATCCCAAATGTGAAGAGCAAGCTGGTAAATAATTATATGCATTCTAAGCGGACTCATCACTGTGATGTCGTGCAAAATGGCACTAGAATGATACAACGCTCCAATTAAAACAATGTTTTATGGCTGTACATTATACACTCGACATAAGCTCAGCCAACAATAAGATCCATCCAGGGAACATTCCAAATGTGATGGCCGTGCTTGGTAGAAGTTATTGGCGTTCAACCATTGAATGGAAATTCTCAATTATTGTCTCAACAAACATTCGCGAGGCGAGTGTCTCATCGAGATGCCCGGGCTGACAGCGGTCTACGGATGGCATCTCTTGCGTTGGGGCTTCCTCACCAGCAGCGCTCGGCCGTGTCGCGAAACGGCACCTGGCGTCTGGGCTACGATAAACAAAAGCGGCGATTCTCTCTCCCAACGGATGGCCACCGCTGCCACCAGCGGCGCCGCGACAACATCATCGCGTTTCTCGTGCCTGCACAGTCGCCTCCATTCGAGGAGGAGACAACAACCGGTTGAATTCCAAATGAATGTCCAAATTCATTGCCGCAAATTATACGTCGTCTAAACCAAACCAAAGAAAGTGATCTTCAAATATATCAACACCCAGATGAAAATAAAACACCACTCGGGAAGGCACAGCTTTGTTGTACCAACCAATCTTGAAAGTCGGTGTTCATAAACTGACGCCTAGACCACACTGCTCGCAGGAGTCAAATCAACTCATCCATTGACCCACTAACCTACTCAAAAAACCCATGAACCTAGTCAATATACCAACTAACCTAGGCAATCCACCCACCTATCTCGTGCCAACCGGGAATGCAAGTGGTTGGTTAGTGCTTTGGCAGCAGCAACAGCAGCTAAACTATGGGCAGTTGTTACAAGGAGAAGACACACAATATCATTATCACAAGGCAATTAGAACAATAACGCATATGCAACTAAAAGTTGCCCATCTGCAAGATGACATTAATCTACCAGCAATAAATTCCACATCTGGTTTCAGGGATGTCATACTTATTATACGTGGAGCTCTTTATAACACCATTGTGCGTGACATGGCGATTATTCTCTGTAAATAGCAATCGGGCAGAAACCGAAATTCAATTTAATTTTCTGGAAAACCATTTGGGTTCTTTGACATTGGCAGCACCATCCAAGACTGGGGGACTCGCTCTCCAAGCCACCGAGAGCCAAGTCTCGGGCAAGTGCTATCCATCACACTTGGCCAACAAGTCACTGGGTTGTGAATGAAGAGCATGCCCAGACACCACTGTGTAGTGTCCTAGGCTGATTAGCTCCCTGACACTTTCATTACGCGCACACACACACAAGGTTTATATTCGAGTGGCCAATTTGTTTCTGGATTATTGAAAGTATATAAAAAAGTGTGCCCATTTATTACACCGTCGACGACCCACGGGTAAACTCGCTCTGCAGTTAGCAGATTGCCATTTACCCAGAAAGCATTTAGAAGGGAAATATGTCAAAGCGACTCCCCGTTTAAAGGAGCGTCACACGGTGGGGCAATCCGTTTCATTGGCGGCCCTATACTTGCCGTGGGAATGTGAAAAATTCCACATTCCCACGGCAAGAGCAAGTCTATGACTCTGAATTTTAACGAATCACATCACAAATACTATTCTTGGTTCTTTCAGTAAAGTCACGTAGAAGGGAAACAATAAAATAATAAAAATATAAAACATATTTTTATTATTAGAACCAAGAATATGAATCCCTGCAGTCATGAAAGCTTTAAATTAAAAAATCACAAATACTATTTGTTTAACAAGGCAAGTCCTTTGTGGCAAACCCTCATTGAGTATACGCATGCTTAATCTACTGTACGCATTTATTAGATGCCAATGGTCAAGATTAATGACGCAGTGGCCGTCAAAGGACGGAACGTATCCGAGGGAACGTCCAACCGGGGAAACGGAGCGATGAAATCAGTTCGCATGCCGACGTCAGGTGGGTCGTTACATCGCAGGATCGAAAGAGATGGCATGGGCTTGAAGAGGCCTTCATGCAGCAGTGGACAGACCATGACTGACGATGATCATGATGAATTGCTTCCGAATGTCGCCATAGCAACAAGACGGAACTCAAGTCTTAAAAGGCGGTCACCGCATCGCGCGCTTTCAGATGCACTTCTGGAGACATCCGGAACGCTCTTCCTTCCGATACTAGGAAGCCACTGGAGCTATGCACTTATAAATCACCGAGATTTAAAACTCATTCCGTTAGAACCGCTTTTTTGTGCTTAGTTTGTTGTCCTTCCCCCGCACCTCCAATTAGCACGGTTAGCTACGTGAGGTACGAAAGAGGTGCAACATACATACGTACGTTACGCGCATACAGGCTGGACATGTGAGCGAATGGGCCGTGGGCTCGCTCGCACTCACTTGGCGTCCAGGACGGACTGGTCGCACAGCGCGCGGATCACCGCCGGGAGCTCGTACTTTACGATGAAGAGGTAGCTGGACATGGCTGCACGGAAACAAGACGGGGGGAGGGGGGGGGGCACGGCGACAATTGAACAAACGCGTCACGCGGCGCACAAGCAAGCGGGGGTTTGGGCGTGACGTCTCTTGAGCCGCGTCAACGCAGGCGGGGGTCTCCAGAGGTGCACAACTTTTGCCTTGCCGCCGACACAACGCGCGAGAGGAGGGCGCCAGCGCCAGGGAATGAAACTCGGTCATCGAGTCGGGGCGCGAGGCACCGCGTTTGCCGTTTAAAATTACAAACGCGCGCATTAACGTACGTAACAAAACAAACAAAAGCGTAATAATAAAAATAACAGCAGCATTGCCCATAGCCAAAAGGCCTTCACAAAACACGAACAAAGAAAATGGCAAAGATAAATGATATCGTGCGGCGGAAGGAATAATTCCATCAAGTTGCTGGAAAAGGGCGCATCAATAATGAAATAGCACGCTGCAAAGGAGCTCCAATTTGCATCTTTAAAGCGTGGGGCTCCGACAGACGGGAGCTGCTGATACACAGTGGAGATTACAGTGGCCTGTTCGGCGAAATGCGGGGATTTCTGCAGGCTTGGCAAAATAGTAATTCTAAAAATATATAACATTCATTTTAAATGTATAATACGACAACAGAACAAGGGATGCCAAACACGAGATTTTATAATTCACTGCACGTTGCAAGGTTGGCTGAAGTAAGTTTGAAGGCGACCGAAATATTTTCCTTTTTTTTTGCTCAAACCTAAATGTACATGTCAAACCGTGCATAACAATATCCACTTCCACAAAGACACGTGACATTTTCATCTGATAGCTGTCTTTGGGTGCTAACTTACGTTTAAGCACCCACCTTTGTGCTTGAGAAAGAACAACAAATGTAACCGCAATCTACGTTTGGAGATTTAAAAAAAACATCGACATTAGGTGGATGTTATTTATAAACATTTGCATTGATATTTCTAGCCGTCCTAGAAATTGCACTTGCCCTCGCCACAGGAACGAGGAATTACCACCACGAGCTGAGAACTACGAATCAGGCAACAAAGCACCACTACATGGTCATTTGAACAGCAGCCACACCGATTGCGAAGCCGCACGAAACACACACACACGCCACGCAACAGCGGCGGTGCCGAGTTGAACCTTAAACAGCCAGTGTGGCCCCGCAGGGCCCCTTCACAACAACCAGGGCCGGGCCACCCCCGCGGCCCCGGGCCCACCCCCCACAAGGGGTCCAGCGCCACACCTTGCTGCGCTCTCAGCAATGCTCGAGTGCGGTGGTTTTAGGAAAAACACGAATATTTCCCTGAACGGAAGGCGGTAAAAAGAGCGGAAATGACAATGAGCTCACCTCCGACATTCTGTAAGGTGATAGCGCCTGCTGCAGACAGCTTTCCAGGAAGTTTGAAAGCAAGGAAGCCGAGCTGCTCGTACGACTTCGTGCCTAAAACAACAAAACAAACGGAGCAGTGGGTGACGTTTTTGCTCAAAGAATTGTCACCACCAAAACAAACTTCCTAATGACTGTATCTGGACATTTTTTTGAAGGAATGCATTTTTTAGATGTTGATATTTATTTATTTTGTATTTCGGTAGATTAAGACCTTTTATTTTCTACAAAGGATCGAGCAGCAATGTAGAGTGGTGGTGAGTGAATTGCACGAAGAAGCTGGTGACTTGAGTTTGATTCCTGGTCACGGCTGACATTAGCGTCGAGTGATATCTGAACTGGTTCTGGACCACCCCTTGACCAACCGACACGGTCCACCATGGTGAAGAATCGTCAAACAACTGCCATGACCGCCAGATACGTTTGAACTTCTTTCGCACCATACGTAGCAAACCGTGCCAATTACAAAGGACTGTAAATTTAAAAAAGCAACAACAATGTAAAAAACATACATCTAAATTACCTCTTGACTGATCACTGAGCAGTGCTGAATTTGAATTGCTCTTAGTTAATTGGCAAACGCTTGTGGTGAGGTGCAGTGTGGGTATCACCAGCCTGAACGGCTGTTACCAATGAACACAGGACAAAATGAACTCATTAGGCAGGGCGGCCCCCCCCGTCTGTGTTTAGAGTTTCACAAGCACCCAAGTACAGCTGACTTAATTAAAATTCAGCACTCGACAGAGATATAGCAATCCAGCCATATGTTACAACACTGAGTACAATATATCCGTACCAATCCACACACACACACACAATCATCACGTGTGTGTTTCCTTCGACAAAGTTCGCACCCACAATCAAAATGCGCATTCATACAAACAGAACGACTAGTTCCAACGCAGTGTCACGGTCACCACGGTGCAGCCGCATAAAATAACAGATGTCACTGTTGCTCCCATTAGCCAAGCTAATGGTCGTGCGGGAGTGGGGACTCCACGTATATGGCTCCTCGACGCACACTTTGCATCAGTGTCGCATTTTTGGCTGTACTGTACCGATGAATCCTTATGAGGCCAAAAGCGGTCTGTACTGCTGCTGCTGTCAGGTCGGTCCCATTTACCCATTCAGGCTTCCCTCGCGTTCTATGCCGGTTCTGTTTGTGCGATGTCGCGCTGTATATGCGGCCAACCAATTTCTACCCAAAATTCGCTCTATGCGGTTTGAATTCACTCAACATGCGGCTTTGTGGTCGAACGTGGCACAGCGTTGTACTGTGTGTCCTGTGTGTGGTGTGTACTGTGTGTGGTGTGCTGTGTGTGGTGTGTGCTGTGTGCATGTGTACTGTGTGCATGTGTACTGTGTGCGTGTGTACTGTGTGCCTGTGTACTGTGTGCGGTGTGTGCATGTGTACCATGTGTGTGCTGTGTGCGTGTGTACCATGTGTGTCTACTGTGTGTGGTGTGCTGTGTGCGGTGTGTACTGTGTGTGGTGTGTACTGTGTGCGGTGTGTACTGTGTGTGTATGGTGTGTACCGTGTGTGTGTGCTGTGTGTGGTGTGTGCTGTGTGTGGTGTGTGCTGTGTGGTGTGTGCTGTGTGCGTGTGTACTGTGTGCGGTGTACAGTGTGCTGTGTGCGTGTGTGCTGTGTGCGTGTGTGCTGTGTGCGTGTGTGCTGTGTGCGTGTGTACTGTGTGCGGTGTGTACTATGTGTGTGTACTATGTGTGTGTACTGTGTGTGTGTGTACTATGTGTGTGTACTGTGTGCGGTGTGTACTATGTGTGTGTACTATGTGTGTGTACTGTGTGCGGTGTGTACTGTGTGCGGTGTGTACTATGTGTGTGTACTGTGTGTGTGTGTACTGTGTGCGGTGTGTACTATGTGTGTGTACTATGTGTGTGTACTGTGTGTGTGTGTACTGTGTGCGGTGTGTACTGTGTGTGTACTGTGTGTGCGTGTGTACTGTGTGCGGTGTGTACTATGTGTGTGTACTATGTGTGTGTGTGTACTGTGTGCGGTGTGTACTATGTGTGTGTACTGTGTGTGGTGTGTACTGTGTGTGGTGTGTACTGTGTGTGGTGTGTACTGTGTGCGGTGTGTACTATGTGTGTGTACTATGTGTGTGTACTGTGTGTGTGTACTGTGTGTGTGTACTGTGTGCGCTACTCGGCAGGCAGCTGTCTCGTGCAGATTTTCTTTGTGTGCCCCTTTTTTGAACGCATCCACTCCTACCGCATTTAGCAAGGGAAACCTGGATTTATTTTGATGGTGACCTTGTATGTATGTTGAACGTCTTCCGCACCGTACGTAGCCAACCGTGCTAACCAAGAGGACCACAATTCACTTCTTCAGGAACTGATGACGCCCCTTTGCAAAATGCACAAAGGCCGACTGTTATTTACACATTTCTGTGTGTTGTTCGAAACTCAAGTACTGTTGCAACGTCGACAAACAGTCTGGCGGCTGTGGTGTTTGCCACCAGCGCTGGCTTACCGGCAGTGTCCGACGTGACCAGCAAGAGATGCACCGAGTACAGCGACAGGACAGCCACGCCGAAGAGCAGAACTCTGCAACAAAACAACCGCGTAGCTCATAAGGCACAAGGTCAAACGAACGATCTTCAAAGCACTGAACTAAACGACGAAATGACTCGACAGATATTTCACTTAAGCAAATAGTCGTTCAGTTTATTTTATTGGTTACCGACAAACTAAAAGTGCACGGGTGTATCGGGAGGACAGGGAAAGCAAGGATGTGCAAATATTGCACGAAAGTTGAACTCTGAATGCTGGATCGAATATCCACATTTCAACAATTCTAGTACATGGGACATTGACAGCATAATCGGACCTATACCTAGTGAACCATTCCATTTCCCCGAATTCTTTGACCGCAATGCCTGCCCCTCCAAAGCAGAATAATCTTTCCGCATACATTGCGTCAACACGATTGTGCTTACCACAACCCGACACTCGTGTGGCCACACACCGTGAATAATTAACGATGACCATGAAGCCCACCGCCTCGACATTCTTTCTAGGCAAATGCCACACACAAGCCCGCTTTGCTCCCCGACCGCCTTCTGATGCAACACTCGCACGGTGTTACGACAGCGGACGACTTTGTGGTCGCGCGCCACGTTCCCTCCCGCGGCTCCACGTCGTCACAGGCATTCCCCCCCCCCCCCCCGTGACATAACGGTGCCCGACTGTGGGCTGTTGAGGGGGGCCCATCTAACTCGGGGAAGGATGAAGGTCTGGTCACGTGAATGTCGTTGACGCGCACCACCGGGCTGCTGTGCTAGGAGGCAGCTGCGATGTTCGTAAACAAAGGCTGCCGAACGGCGACGTGAACGCAACTCGCAACTGTTTGCGCGTAGTCACTTTAAGATGTTTTCTTGTTCATGTTTTTGTTTTTTTGTTTGTTACGGTTGCACCCGATTCAAGAGCCGAATGGCTTCACAGGGCGATACCAAATAAATGAAATTTTAAAAAATGAAATTAAACCAAAGCCCCGTGTAAAAGAGGACCGACACACCCGGCGTGCAAACAAACGACAACAACCGTCGACCGCCTCCATGCTCCTACAAGCAAATGGGTTGTTTGTTTGTACTGGGGATCCTCAGCCACCCGGGATATTTTCCACATATCCGTGATGACACCCCCCCACACTGCGCTGCCCAATGTGGTGAAGCATGCTCAAACAACCCCCCACGACCCCCACGGTGTGGGGGGGGGGGTCTTATCCAGCAGTGGGTTCACAAATGGCTATGCACGTCTTTTGTGAGACGGTCTCTCCACAGAAGACAACACACCCTGGCGGTGAGACCCACTCGGTCCCAGCTGACCACTGCCAATGTGCGAGATTTGCAAACTCACGGCGATGATTGTTCCTGCCGTTCTGACCAACCGAGCTACGTCCCAGCCGTGGCGGTCTACGCCGTGTCGACGTTATTTACGTGGACGTAGTGAAACGCGGTTGCCTTCACAGGCAACATTAACCTGCGGGCGTTTCTAACGAGCCGTTCTCAGGGCCTCTTCACAGGCCCCGGCTCGCGATGACCCCCACGCGAGGATCCTGGCAGGGAGGCCGCGCTTGCTACAGTGGGTACATCATCGCATTACGCAGAATCTAACACGCCGCTTGTTTTCCCATAAACCGCTACGCCAATTTACATGCAATTTCTTCATCTGTGGAGGAGCGCCAATGTCCACAAGCTGTCGAATCACAGCGACTGTTCATAAGTCGGGGTGGGGGGTGGAAGGAGGCGGCGGTGGGTGAGGGGTACGGCAACTGTGGACCTCGCTAAACCGTGCCCAAATGGCTACGTGGGAGATGTGCCCACCTACCACGAGCGGAAGATCAAAGAATCGCCAAACTGCGACTGCGGTGAAGTCCAAATCGTCGAACGTCACCGGACGAATTGACCATCCGTGCAACACCGTGGCGGCGTTGCTGCGATCCATAGAGCATCTAACCGCCTCCTTGGATCGGTGGAAGAGACTTGGGAATTCGACTGATAACACGTCTCAAGACTTTTTACTTTTCTCTCGTGCCACACACGAAAGAAGACGGCGCCTCTCTGCCTCACGAGTCCCGGGACGGAGCAAAACAAAAAAACTGCGGTGTTGGGTTGCTCGAATTTCGTCAATGAGATACAGGCTGGGCAATAAGTCTTCCGTAAGGTTCGCTGACGCACGCGTGGGGCGTGCGTCAGCGACGGACGAGGCGAGCCGGATCGCTGTCACCCTCTCCGGGCCGGTTCTCTTCATTCGCGGCCTCTTGGTCAATCGCTTCCCCCCACCCATTTCCGCACACTGTACACAGGTGCCACAGACGTGGACTGTATTTACAAATGAACGCACAGTCCGCTCGCGTAAAGTAATACTGTTAATCCGAGCCGAGAGCACGTGCGTGATAACACGGACGCGGCGCATGTTTGCGCAAAAGATGACGGGCCGGGCCTTCGATGTAATGCTACAAAGCCACTCTTTGTATATTTTAGCAAATCGGTGTTGTCCATGTACGGAAAGATGACGGGCCGGGCCTTCGATGTAATGCTACAAAGCCACTCTTTGTATATTTTAGCAAATCGGTGTTGTCCATGTACGGACGCGTCAAGTGTAGACTTGTGGCAGTTTCGGGACTTTTCACTCGGCAGCAGAGGGTACACATAGAGAACAAATTGGACTTCAGAAGAGATCTGTAACTTCATTTCTAAATATGTTCGTGACACAAGAGAGGCGATGGCTATCTTTTGATAAAATCACCGACGGGCTATTTTACGTCCACGCCGATACCGTGCCCGTTTGACCATTCTCATAAAGTTTAGGACGACGACTTTTGAGCGCAACCGATGAGCCCTGGATTCAGAGGTTGGCCCTGTATGAACCACCGAGCCACAGGAACATGCACCGTCGAGAGAGCACACCATCCCATATCTGTGATATCTTATCTCTTTCACCATAGAGAGCTGTGCCAATGCGACATGACAGCGGCTGGCCGGGTAACAAGCTATCACTCAGACTCGGTGGCGAGGAGCCATATTGATTGTGCCGACTTTCAGGCCCTCTTGAGTTACACTAAACAAATTGCTGGCTTACACCTTTAATGCATAGCACCGCACAGAAAATGTATCTGCTCGTTGCATTAACGATACCGACACCAGGTTGGGAGTCGAGTGGTGGTGCAGCGGTAGCCAGAGCCAAAAACCAACGCCGAGTGATATGCGAACCAGCCCGAGCCAACCCACTACACTAACAATGCACTGCCCATCGTGGTGAAGTATGGTCAAACCCCCCACGACGACACGGCATGCGGGGGGGAAGACTTATCCTGCAGTAGATTGACAAAGGGCTCTAAATCGCGATTATAAATTTGACTCTGCTGAGACACAAGCGAAGGGTGCGGTCCTTCAAACCGGACCTACAACAAATATGCAAATGCTAACCTCGCTACAGCCATCCCTGACGCACATGCCCACCTTACAAGTTGTTTCATTGACAGTAAAAACCGCTATCATGGCCAAATATTCGTCACGGAGGATAGCTTAAAGCATGAAGACATTGCCTGCAAAACGTTAAGACAAAGCATCAACGTTAAAATCTCTGTAGGATTGCATTCCTTTTTCGGATGTTTCTTTTTTTTTTCTTTGCGCATTTCAGATGTACTGGTGAACCGGCTGGTTCAATTAAACAAATCACGCATTTTGAGGTGATTCTTGCATGGCCAAAATGACATGTGCCCGTCTTCGTTCCCCCCCGGCTCACTCGCCACACCAAGAGAGAAGGCGCACAAGCGTCACACGCCAAGATGGCTGCACGCCAATGCAAGCGGCGCGTCTCCTTCTCGTGGTGGCCCGAAGCATAAAGATTTCACGCGAGAACTCTGCATTGTTGCGGCGGGGCTGAAAATTACGAATGCGTCATAATCAAAGGTGACCTGGCGGCTTCTCAGATGTCAATGCCCGTGACAAATCGTACTGAGCCAGCATTGGGTTCAATTTACATCCTCCCCTCCCTACCTGGTGGTATTCGTACAATTATCTATTGATGGCTGCACACCCACACATATATACACACCGTGAAAAATATTCACAAAAAGGACTGCACAGCTGTGAGAGTGAGTGGTTGTGTTGCGACAGACAATTGAAGGCTAACTGGTGAATAAACCTATGAAAATCCAAAGGTATGTTTGTGCAGGTACAAGTACGATATATCTACGTCAGTCAACCTGGTATGTTGGTATGTTAGTCTCGTGTCATTGAGTTTCAATCCAGGACCGATTTTATCTAAGGCTCACGTTCTATGCCGGGTACTTACGAGTCTATGTTCAAAACTACATAGAACCTGTAAACGTCCAGCATTAAGTACACAAACAACAAGACAAAGATCCCCCATGTAGCCTTTAGCAGGCTGTTCGCGAGCACCTATGAAGGTCGGCATGGCACACGAGGGGGTGGGTGGCCAGCACCACGCCCGACCGCCTTTGTCTCCCCAGTGGCGATGTTTACACACCGCACCAGGTACTCATTTGAGGCCGAGTCGACCTAGGGGAGGCCCAGGACCGGTTCAGATAATCGTCACTGGTGCTGGCCGTGAGCGGGAATCGAACCCGGGTCGCCAGGTTCGTAGCGCTGACCGCTACACTATACGCGTCGTTCGTCGTGTGGCTTTCAAGCGCACGGGGCGCCACGAGCGATGTTCTAGCGCGGCAGTACTCACACGAAGAGCAGGATGCCCGTGTTGGCCATGGCAAACGAGAGGCCCAGGATCCCACTGCCCATGATGGCGTTGCTGAGGTTGAACACAGACATCCCAAAGGACTCTCTGCCCTCATGTTGCTGAAAACACAAAGAAGAGAAACGCTCAACGTTTGCAATGGGACAGCAGCCGGATGATCTTGCGTCTCGCCAGACGTGCCTGAAGCTTGCACACGAGCGAGTGCCGTGGTGTACAGAGAGCGGGTGCACTGCTCACTTGTTGTGCTGGCTTACAAACGCCAATCGCACTCGGCCAGAAGTGTACGCATATTAAACTGAAAGCAAAAACTTTCGTATAGGTTTGATAAGTGGTCGAATTTATATGCCTAATAAATTACTCGTAATGTAGAGTATACAGAGTTGCAAATCCTGTTCTCTGCATTTGACCTGTCACAAGGCTTTATTTAAATATGGGTGTATAAACAGCCTTTTCCGTTTACAGCAGATAATGACTATCAAAGTCTTGACATCAATCAAATGATGCTGGAGGAACAGAACTTTGATGGTCTACAGAGAGATGGCTCAATATTCGTGACCAATGTGCATGCACTCAAGAGTGCCAATTATTGTGAAGCGTAATGTCAATTATTACTTTATGGCATCTTTATGAATCAAAGTTGGGACGACATAGAGTACAGTTCCACATTATGGACATGAAATAGTTGTTTAATCAAACATGCCTAATTTAAAATAAAAGGCAGTGCAGAAATATAGCGGAATGGGAGGCCCGACACATTCCATTTTCACGTTTCATTGCAGAACAGCCGAACAAACATGCGGCGTAAAGATGCAAAAACAACATTTCGCAACCGCCTAAAAAAACCCGAGTTTGCTCGTAGGCAAACATAGCAACTCAACACCACGACTACCGAGGCCATGATAAACAGCAACATACACACACACACAATTATATCTGTTTTCTCTCTCAAGTTGTAATGCGTAACCATCCTCGACATCCCCTTAACGATGACGGCCAAGGCGACGATGGCGGGCGGGTCAGAGAAGAGGAGCTCGGAAAGATGAAACAGAAAGCTGAAACGTCGGAGTTCAGAAACGTGAGTGATAAGGTTAAGCTGCACCCTATTTCAGTGAGGCTCTTACAAGTTACAACACCCGACAGGCCCGTACTTAACCCATGATTGATAATCAACATATGTCTGTTTGTTTACTGTAACACAGTTTCTACGTCTTTTTAATTTAGGGTGTGTATTGTCTAAACAGGTAAATGTGGGTAAGAATGTTGGAAACAAAAGACTTACATCATATTTCTTTACTCCACCATTGAGAAAGTTGGCACTTTCAGTTTCAAACTGTTCATCGTATTGGCTGCGAGAAAAACACGCAGAGCAGAGGTGACAATGAACTTTCCCCTTTTCCACAGACGGCCGGTGCAACTCAAGGATTAAGCAAACATCCCCAACCCCATTGCAATGACACATCCAGCAATAACACACAATCTCAGAGCTATGTAAACACAGAAAATGAAACAACAATACAGCATAGATAACATTTACGTGTGGTGTGTGTACCAGTTGGGAGTCTGCACACTCACTCCGGCAGACAGGATGGTTGTATAATAAAAGGCACGTTGCTGTGTACGCTTACCGAGTGTTAATAATTAAACGGGTGTGCACTGTGCGTGGCCACCAGGGATAAATTACGGCTATTAGCACCGTCACGCACACACATCGTGATTCATGGAAAATGAATTACACACCTGCTCAACATTTCAATTACTTATATTCTTGGTTCTTTCGGTAAAGTCACGTTGAAGGGAAACAATAAAATATTGTTATATATATTTTATTATTTTATTGTTTCCCTTCAACGTGACGTTACCGAAAGAACCAAGAATATGATTCACTGCAGTCACGAAAGCTTTAAATCAAAATTTCAATTACTTATTTAACTATTCTCCTAGCGGCAAGCCATTGCCTTTCTTTCAGTACCAAATTGTTTTAATATATAGCTTGAAACTTGGGTCATTTACATTGAAAAACATCCTTCAATTGTTGCACAGGTGTTTGAACAGACACTCACATTTGATCAAAGTTGTGACTTTGTCCTGAACTTAAACACGATGTTGTTAATTTTGCTAACGGCATTCCCATCAGCAGACAAATCAAGCTACTTGCTTCGTGATAACTCCATTAGCACGGTCATCGCTCTCCACAGCCAACCGATTCCATACATCCTTTAATGTTGTATATTGGCTGTCTGATCATGATCAATGTTCTTTTCTGTCAAGCGCTGCACACTTATAAATGAAATATCTTTCCTCAATATCTAAATAATTTCAGCATCATTAATCACCTAGAATTTCAATGACTTCAATCGGAGATCATTGCTGGCTGGGTGCATTTTTAGACACGAGACCGACGGGTCCAATCTTATCGCCAGCATCCCCAGGGTGTCATCCTAATTACGCCATCAGCGGTGTCGTAAGTCTCAAAATCCCCCAGAACTCTCGGCGCGCATCACAGCATGCTCAAGAAGAGTCCACGGAGAGGAGACGTCGCAAAACTTTAAGTTTCTGAAATCTCACCAAGCGACCCTCCTAGCTGCACTGGGCATCGCACTCCCCCACCCGCACTGCTGAACAGAGGAACGCTCGTCACAAGACTCGGGCTCGTGTATGCGTTTTAACTCTCAGAGCTGGAATTCGGCCAGATTAAGTGCAAAACCAAATCTACGATTGCATGCTGTTTTTTTTTAAATTCAATTATTAGTGACCAGAACGGAATTCGTCTAAATCACAGACACACAGACGTGTGAAAATCGAAACCAGCAACTCACCTTGCCAGTGCCATTACTTTTGACAAGGAATACAAAATAATGCAGACGCATGCACTCTGTAGCAATGTCCAACGTGTGTCTGCCTCTCACAAATGTTTATAAGCACTATGGAAGCCGATGGGTAGTTGTTAGGGCACAACCCGTTGTCATATTTGCCTCGCAAGCTTTTTTCACCCCTTCCATCAATTTTGTCTGGCTTTCTATAAAGCAAAGTGCCTAACAGCACCACAAGTTTAAATAAAAATTCCATGTAAACTTAATCGTCTCGACAAGAGGTTATCGTGACCCCACATTTCAGAGAAAAAAAACACACACACACACCCACTGTTGTAACCCGCTGAAGTCTGCGCTGCTTTCAACGGAGGAAAAGCAAAAACTCCACAAACTCTCTCCCGAAGCCCTACCCGTGGTTAGCGGACCTCGACATTGGCATTCGAGCTCCACGAACGCATTGCTGCCGTACGCAAGAATAGAACAGATAGAGACCGTACATAGCCTTAGTTGGAGTGACTGGCAGTGCAGTGGTGTTGGTGCATCTCTCTCTCTATCTACCTGATGGTGACTTTGTCTGCCTCGGAGGGCACCGGGTAGCCATCCTCTCCGCTGTCCCTGCTGTCATTGTCATTTACGAAGATGTCTGAGCGAAGTTCCAGCTGGTCCTTTGCCATGGCGATGGGAGGTCGATGTTGGAAACAGGCTGCGGGTGAACTTGGCGTTTGTGCTTTCAAAACGTTATCGTTTTATATTTTTTGGAGAGAAGGCGCAATTTTCCAATTGAGTTAAGAAATGTCTTGCTATTTGAATGTCAACGTTTTGCCTGCTACACAGAGCATAGAGTAAACGTCCTCCTCGTCCTCCTCGAATATCGCGTGACCTGTTAACACACACACACACAAACAGCACACAAGTTGCATTGTTAATAGTTGGTGGCCGCTGTGACTTTAGAAAGTCAGGATAATTATAAAAAGTATAAATTATCACGTCAATGTCGTGCCAGTCTTAGCAGGTAGCCAACTGAAGTGATTCTCACAGTACCAATCCACTGCAGATTTAACACTACCAACCTCAAAACACATTTGTCAATAACACCGTGGCCTTAAAATAAACATATATAACCGGCGACGTTTCGGGCAATGACCCTTCTTCATGGACAGATACAATGCAGCATGAGAAACACAAATAATGGGCAAGAGTTTATATTGTACCGCTGTGTGTGGTACGACTGACATTGACGATGTGCTGGGATCCAACCTCAGCGGTGGAAATGTTCAAGCCGGGAGCTGGGGGGGGGGACGTCTCCCTGTGTCTGAACTTAGGCATTTTAGCGCTTTGCATGACAAAGTTAGGCTAATAAGAGTACTGTAGAACTTAATAACGATGATAGTGTAGGAGCTTGCGTTAATCCCATTGATCAAACAACATTCAAAACGTGTTGTAGCTGTACAATGTGCACTACTATATACCAAGATACCCCATCACAAGTAATGTTTAAAACAGCATGTACAGCATTGCCTAAAACCAAACTATACCCAAATACAATAATTAAAATACATTAAACACGAGGGCAGAAACTTAATTTCGTAAAGTGCAGTACATGACAGTTCCTCGCGATAACCTTGATCGGGCACGCATTGTAGTGAATTAAGCACACCAGATGCATTGTAGTGAATTAAGCACACCAGATGCAATGCTACACACACAGCAGGTTTACATTGTTTGCCATTGCAAGCAAGAATGGTCCATAGCTAGGGGATATCACCTTACCTCGTTAGCTTTGGAGCTGTTTGCCAAATGTAGTAAACCAGAGAACAGCAGTTATTACGTAAGTCCGATGGATATAAAACAATCAAACAGATGGATAAACAACTTCGTACTTAAGTGGAAACCAAAACAATATATATAAATCAAACCCCACTATAACTGAAACCGAACAAACGTTGCTTTATTATTTTGTGCCGCAGCAAATATTTGCAGTTATTAGGTTATTCAGTTTTACGCCTTTAAAGACTCTCCTCTTTGCGTTCAGCGCAAACTTTTGCAACGCACGGCCGAACGATAGCGACGGACTTTTATTTATATAGCTAGCAGCCAGCCCCGCCCCCAACACGCCCCAGCTCGCCCTCATCAAGCCACGCCTCCAACACGCCCCAGCCCCAACCAGCCCCGCCCTAATCAAGCCCCGCCCCCAACACGCCCCTACTCAGGCCCGCCCTCATCCAGCCCCGCCCTCAACACGCCCCAACCCCACCCGACTCAGCCCCGCCCTCATCAAGCCCCGCCCCCAACACGCCCCGCCCCCACTCAGGCCCGCCCTCATCCAGCCCCGCCCTCAACACGCCCCAGCCCCGCTTTGGGGCCATCCATCCAGTACGTTCGCTGGAGGGGGGAAGGGTTAAACCAAATGCGTACTGCTTTTATGGGGGGGGTCTACTCACAATGTCTGCATAGGAAACGGGGGGGGGGGGGTGTGAAGCCTCGACAATAATTTGTCTACAGTGGCCTTCAACTTATTTAGATAGTCCGGCGGTGGACTGTTTGCTTCAACACGTTACTATTATTATTATTACGTCATTGACACGTTAATATTATTACGTCATTAATACGTTAATAATATTATTACGTCATTAACACGTTACTATTATTACGTTATTAACACGTTACTATTATTGTTGCGTTATTAACACATTTATAATATTATTACGTTAACACATTAATATTATTATTACGTCATTAACACGTTACTATTATTATTACATTATAAACACGTTAATATTATTACGTCATTAACACGTGAATATTATTATTACGTCATTAACACGTGAATATTATTAACGAGCTTGTTTGCCCGTCCAAGGACGGGGTGGAGATTGCAGTAAATCTGAAAGATTAAATAGACAAATTGTTCAGCTCATGATTATTAATGAGGGGGGCGGGGCTCACGTGGAGTGACGTCACGCGCGGGACACACTCTTAGCTCATTATTAATCTTAATTATTAATCTAGATTAGTAATCTTGATTAGTGATCTTGATTAGTGATCCTTGAGCGTTTCTGCGTGGATTAAATATCGGCCGTTCTATAGGGGATTCGGGGGTAGGGGGGGAGGGGTAGGGGGGGGGTAGGAGGGTAGGGGGGGTAGGAGGGTAGGGGGGTTGGGGGGTAGGGGCGGGGTAGGGGGTGTAGGGGGGGTAGAGGGTGTAGGGGGGTGTAGGGGGTGTAGGGGGGGTAGGGGGGGGTAGGAGGGTAGGGGGTAGTGGGGGTAGGAGGGTAGGGGGTAGTGGGTGTAGGGGGGGTTGGGGGGTAGGGGGGGTAGGGGGGGGGAGTCGCGAGAGGTTTCTGCGTGCCGACTGAGCGGGTGGCTCCGCCCCCTTCCTAAGGAGCCCCGCCCCCTTCGTAAGAGCCTCTTCTCCCTTCTAGATTTGAAGTTTTCGTGACTGCAAGGATCCATACTCTTTGGTTATTTCGGTAAAGCCACGTAGGTGAAAAATAAATAAAAAATTAAATCACGACGCTTCGGATGCAACACAAGCGTCCCCTCACAAGCCCCGCCCCCATCACGAGCCCCGCCCCCATCACGAGCCCCGCCCTCATGACGAGCCCCGCCCCCTTGCCCAATCCATATAAAGCACACATTGTGTATACTGTAATGTCCTTAATGCACAAGCAGTGTCTGTGTGTCTGTGTCTCTGTGTCTCCACACGCAGTGTCTATGTGTCTGTGTCTCTGTGTCTCCACACGCAGTGTCTGTGTGTCTGTGTCTCCACACGCAGTGTCTATGTCTCCACAAGCAGTGTCTGTGTGTCTGTGTCTCCACAAGCAGTGTCTATGTGTGTCTGTGTCTCCACAAGCACGCTCAAAGTATTTATTACATAACCTCGTTGGCCCAATGGCCTGCTGGGGAGTGCACGAGTTCAGCACCATTCATTCCGTACGAGAAACAACAACAACAAAAACCCACGTTTGTTTGACACGCAAGTACGGATTATTTGCATCAGCAGTGTCAGCCTTGCTTCAGTTAATGTAGGTGACCTGCCAGACGTTATAGGAAAGGTAAGATTGGTCTGTCGGCACGAGGTCGTCAAGTAGAGATATATTCCCACCCACCAAACTATCTCCCATCAACAGCCACGGTCAAGACAGCCAGATGAAAGCCTCCCCAATCCATCACTATCTCTCACTATGCTGCCATAGATCCACACCTAGCACCTTACGCGCTGATTTAGTCGCTCCATCTCATTGAAAGGCGTACTATTGGACCACTCTCCACCAATTAGCACCTCCGATTAGTACGTTTGGCTAAGTACGGTGCGAAAGAAGTTCAACATACATACTCTAAATCTTGACTTAAAGCTTTCGTGACTGCAGGAATTCATATTCTTTGGGTCTTTTGGTAAAGTCACTATCTACGTGACTTTACCGAAAGACCCAAAGAATATACACTCTAATTTATTCAACTTGTTTATTTAGTATTTACATGCCTACCCTACCCACTACTATTCCCTGGGAGTGTGTTGGCATTCACAGCATTGAAGTATGTGGATCCAGTCATTTATATACATATTTAATATCATGTCAGTGCCACAAAATCCAGAATTTACATCACTCAGCGACATGAATCAATCATTCACTCTGGGTGGGAGGTCGTGCAGTGGTGCAGTGGTTTTGGTGTAAAAAAAACGTAACCTGAATTTGATCTCAAAACAGCAGTGTATTGAAAACGGGACTGTAAACTCTTCTCAGAATTCAAAATCATGAATGTGTACTACTACATGATGCTGCACACTTTATCATAATACATTCTATCTTAATGGCTATATATGTTGCATGTAACAACGAAACGCATTGGCGGTTCTCGATGTGCACACTCGATTCCCATGGTGGGTGAATACACCACGAGCATGCTGGGTTTGGCCTGCCACAAGTGCGCACGACAGGACTTTACAGAGCTCAGTGCGCAGGAAACGACAACAACAAAGGAAAGATGCTTTGCATACTTTAGTGGCTCTCATTTGAGTTGATAAAATGGTTGGAAATATGTAGATACCTGTAGACACTGTACGCCATTGCATCCCAGATGCATGCCAGATAAACAAACATTGGTTGGGTACAACACTTCAGAACTGTATATGCAGTGTAATAAACACATCCCTTATCAACGTGAAGTGCATTCATTTACTAAAGATTCTGCAGTAAAATGTCTTATTACTTCCGCACACTGGTTGACTGCGAAATGTTTGTACAATGACTCACACGATTAGTGAGAAGGTGAAGCGATAATTTATATATTTATTATGCAAATGTATTCCATTTGTTTTGCACTAAATACACATGCAGGCCCTGCATCTCATACCCTATCATGTTTCCACCTCCCATGTACAAGTATATCTCCTGGATTTTACTTATAGTTTTTTGGTCACAACAAATCTTGTAGAATAGCACACTCGTACAGCTAATAATACAGGTGGAATATTGCTTATCATTCATCATCGAACCTATAGAATTACAATAAAACGCAATGAGGAAACATATTTAAAAAAAAACGCTAGCATCTCAAAATACATAAATTGGACAACTATCACGATATGAACTTAGAGTTGATTTGCGTCCTTCACAATTGAATAAGCTAAACAGGCTTATCCAGAAGCACACGCACACAAAGAGAAACGCAAAGACACTAGGATGTTGCATCACCCTCTAAGGGAGTGCGGTGGTGTCCCCACGCTGCCCGATAGAGGTCAGACTTCACTCGACTTGCCCTGGTGACAAGGAGAGCCACAGATTTAGTGCCACGCCGAGCCAGCAGATTGTAAACACGACACGACTCAAACTTGGTGCGCAAATGCAACATGACCGCCACATTTCAGTAGCAAACAGC